AAAAAAAAAAAAAAAAAAAAACTTCCAACAGAGATCCAAGGGATGCTGTGTGCAGACGCCCATTATAATCACTGAGGTGCCAATAAATAATAAACAGATACTGATACACATTAATCAGACACAAACACCACAAACATCAAAACAAGTCTGAATATCAGAGCTGGAAGTTAAACATGTTCAGATGATTTACATTCAACAAATGCTGTCAGAAAATGAAGTAGTTATATATATATATAATTAAAGAGCAAACACACAAATAAATAATGTATAATGAATTCAAAGTAAACAGACACGTGTTCAGTTTGGATTTGTAGCTGCAGATCTGTTAAACCCCCATAATGCATCTGGTCAACAATCGCACCATGATCCCGAGTGTTATCAGAGCTGGTCGGTTCTTATTTGTTTGATAACAGGCCGTGTGAACAGCTTGACATACAGGTGATCCTTTCCAAACGCTGCTTTTTTGGGCTCGATCAACAGCAGGTTTCCATGGTGATCAATCCCAGCGTGGCATTGCTCCTTGTCCACTATATCTCCAGCGGGAATATCAACACAAAAAGACACGGACAACAGCTGGTTTGGCTCGCCGTTGCTTTCTCACGCCGATTCATTTCAAAAGGAACAAACCGCATCTACATGCGAGACCGTGCAGTATTTCCAACCAGAAAGGAAGAAAGGTCAGAGATTTACTGGCGGCACTGGTGGCATTTGACTAAAGTCCCCAGTGAGACTGGAAAAATCTGCACCACCACTCTCAGATAGTTCATCAATCTGCCATTTAATCTGCCATTTCAGGTAGGAACTCAAAACCAGTCGTGGTGTGAGAACGGATCAAATAAATGAAAAATGGTATCTGAAAAAGGCGTTTCTAGCAATCTAGAGCCAGCATGGCAGCCAAAGAAATCGCTCAGGATTACAAGCATTCCCTCCACTGCTCAGGCAATCAAGACTTATCGACTGAATGATCTAGGAATCCAAATGCAGCTCCGCTCACCACTCGCCTGAGCGTATCTGCAATAATGTCATGCCATGAGGGAGTCAGACTATGGCACGCTGAATACCAGATTAAGACAGCACAAACCGCAGCTTTACTGGGCCAAAAGACTGACGGATGAATCATCAAACGCAACGTTCAGCAGCCGAACGGCTGAATGCTGCGTAATGCTATTAAAACATAAACGCAAGGTCAGAAAACATGGGTGCTTTCAGTGCTAACATATCTGAGCTGTAGTAAAGATTGCAACGTGATGTGCACAAGTGATTTCGGATGAGATAAAATGCATGCATTAGCCTCTTTTTCACTTCCCGACAATCATCAACAGAACGAAGAGCTAATGATCCACATTAGATGTGTGATTCGTGCTGGACTTGTGATGGGAAATGTAGTTTTGTTGTGCAAAACTGTTGCATCGCTTCTAGACCAATCAAATTTCTGGAGATTGCAGATGCATTTAGTTCAAAATAAAGGCCATTTACCAGATGGATGGATTCGATGATATTTCAGAGTTGGCAAGACAAAACCGAGCTGCTCTGTACATATATATTTTAGGGGTGCAACGGTTCTCGGTAAAAAATCGCACCGTACGGTTCTCCACACACGGTTCGGCATGCACTAGGACCGCGGTTCAACTTAAATCTGACAATGCATCTGTAATATGGTTTGTTAGATTTCGGATAATGCATTTTTCTGTTGATGGATACAAATTCTGGCTTCCCAATACATTACAACAAGAGCGATGAGAGAAAAAAAACAATACGTGGACAAACCAGTCACTCTTTGTTCAATGCGAGTGCTGTATGTTGGAATAACTGTCATTTATGCTGTCATCACGTGTTGATAGCGCAGGAGAGACCAGAACAGCACACATTGCTATCTGCGTTTAAACTAAACTTTAAATTTAAGCCTTGCCAGTTTAAATATTAAAGAGCCAGAAGACG